CCGATCCCTGGGAAGGGTGGGTGACCCCTGGCCTGCTCCCTGCCATCCCCAGCTGCTGAAGATCGCCTTCGACGAGGAGGTGGCTTCGGACAGCGCCGAGATCTTCCGGAAGCACCTGCACAAGCTGCGCTACCCCCAGCACGTGCGCGGCACCTTCGCCTTCACCGTGGGCCAGTCGCCCAAGCAGGCCATGCAGCCCAAGGCCAAGGAGAAGAACCCCTCGCTCAGGTACCTGTGCTGTGGGGACAGCCACGCCTGGGATGGGCCTGATCCTCTGGGACACCTCGGGGCTCCTCCTGGCCCTCCTCCAGCCCCCCCAGCTCAGCCACCAAACAGGGACCACTCGGGGAAATGGGGCACAGGGACCTGAGCTGGACGTGGCTCCCTGAGCCCACCTTGCTCAGACCTGTCCTCACACAGGATTTCCCCATGTCCCCATGTCCCCAAGTGCCACATCCACAGGGCTTGGAAATGCCTCCAGAATGGGGACTCCCCCTGCCCTGGGCAGCTGTTCCAGGGCTGGACAGCCCTTTCCATGAAGGAATTTTCCCAATATCCAACCTGACCCTTCCCTGGCACAGCTTGAGGCCATTTCCTCTTGTCCTGCCCCTTGTCCCCCGGGAGCAGAGCCCTTCCTGTCAGGGAGCTGTAGGGTAAAGAGCTGTAGGATGTCCCATGTTCTGCAGAGGATAGGTCACACTGGGACCCAGGAGTTTGCTGCACTGGCATCCCCAGCCCTGCTGAGGAGGCGTCCCATGGGAGAGGTTCCAGTGGGTTGGGTGACTTGGAAATATGATCCTGCAGTGCTGGGTGACTTGGGAACATGATCCTGCAGTGCTGGGTGACTTGGGAACATGATCATGCAGTGCTGGGTGACTTGGGAACATGATCATGCAGTGCTGGGTGGCTCAGACACACAGTTCTGCAGTGCTGGGTGGCTCAGGGACACAGTGCTGGGTGACTTGGGGACACGGTGCTGCAGTGCTGGGTGACTTGGGGACACGGTGCTCCTGCTATGAGTGACTTGGGAATGCAG